CTGCTCTGTTCACTTTGATGTCAGTGGGTAAGAAAGTTAAGGAAACAAATCAGCCAGGCAGGAGCTACATGTGTTGAGTAAACAAAAGTTCCCGCTCTATGCATATCTTACACTCACACCCCTGGTATTTCGGTAATTGCATTTTATATGTGATCTCCGCTGTTACTTTTGACCCGTGTTTGTGGCGTGACTGATACGCCATTATCTAAAGACGCCTTAAACATAGTAAGGTTGGTAATAAAGAACTGAATTATGATCTCATTCCTGTGTCAATATAAAGCCAATATACAGAGCCTCCTGCACTTGACTTCACACAGTCCGAGCATGCACCTCAAGACCTCATACTGGCAGTGGTAGCGGTGGAGAATTCTATACAAACTAAACGCACCGTCTGTAATTAACAAACTTTATGGCAGTTTCAGAGAGCAGCTCAACAGGGGCAAGCATCTAATCAGACCACACATTAATTAAAAAGGTCCTATATGACGCGAAATTGAGCTTTAAGTCATGTTATAATGTTGTTATCTCCTTAAAAACATACCTGGAGTTGTGTTTAGTTTCATTCACACATGTTTGAGTAATTCTTTAATATTAGTTTGTCTACATCTCCAGAGCTCAGAATGCTCTGTTCCGCTTTGTGATGTCACGTAGTGCTAGTTTTTAAGTTAATAAATGCCTTTAAATACCTTTAGCCCACGATATCAATACTGTATCATCACATTAAATGATATGATATATCGATATTCCGATATTTTTGCACACCCCTAGTCAGAGGGGCCGTCAGTCTGTCCCAGGGCAGCTGTGGCAACAATAGTAGTTTACCACCTCTGAGTGTGGAGTGAATGAACAATGAACTGTAAAGGGCTTTGGGTGTCTTGAAAGGCGCTATACAAATGCAATGATGAATTGATTAATTAATGCGTTATGGTATTTTTGAGCAATAAAATAAATTAAATAAAAAATTATTAAATAAAGGGGCATGGCAATATATCTCTATGGAGACAAGCACCCTCCATCAAAAAGCTATACCATGGGATACCTGCTCTGTTCACTTTGATGTCAGTGGGTAAGAAAGTTAAGGAAACAAATCAGCCAGGCAGGAGCTACATGTGTTGAGTAAACAAAAGTTCCCGCTCTATGCATATCTTACACTCACACCCCTGGTATTTCGGTAATTGCATTTTATATGTGATCTCCGCTGTTACTTTTGACCCGTGTTTGTGGTGTGACTGATACGCCATTATCTAAAGACGCCTTAAACATAGTAAGGTTGGTAATAAAGAACTGAATTATGATCTAATCTAATCAGACCACACATTAATTAAAAAGGTCCTATATGACGCGAAATTGAGCTTTAAGTCATGTTATAATGTTGTTATCTCCTTAAAAACATACCTGGAGTTGTGTTTAGTTTCATTCACACATGTTTGAGTAATTCTTTAATATTAGTTTGTCTACATCTCCAGAGCTCAGAATGCTCTGTTCCGCTTTGTGATGTCACGTAGTGCTAGTTTTTAAGTTAATAAATGCCTTTAAATACCTTTAGTTCAGTAGAGTTTGGCAATTCCAGGGCTGATTTTTCAAAATGACTCTAATGAAGGTGCAAGGAGTTTTAAAACACAGTGGAGCACTTGTGTATTACCAGATGACATCACAGTGTGGAACAGTGAGTGAGTGTTTTCGGTTTCAGAGAAGAAATCAGCGTAAATTTGCAGGATTTATGAAACAAAACACAACTCTAGATATAATTGTGATGAGGAAACAACATTATAACATAGATGAGGAAAAAGTATTATGGGTCCTGTAAGCTATAAATGTTTTTTATGATGATGATAAGTTTATTCGGACGTTTCCTTAAATAATAAATTGCATTATCATACAGTAAATGATGAATTGCAATATTATGCATTAATCAACAGATACATAAAGACAATTATTTTACATTGCTCATCACTATTGTCTCCAAAAAGAAAAAGAAAAAAAATCTATTAACATTTTTACATCTACTATATCTATTAGAGGTGTAACAATAACCAAAATATCGTGATATCGTATCGTCAAAAGTCTGTAAATATTATCATGGGCCATCACAATATATCGAATCACACGTTTCTTTGCTTAAATTCAAACAAACCCCCAAAAAACAGAGGGAACTACATTGACCATGATCCTTTGCTCCGTTTTCGTGCAAACTACATGAAGAAACAGCACTTCTAAGCACTTTTAAATTTTAGTTTGAAGAATTAAGTCTTGTCAAGGCATTTTAGGAGGAAAAAGGAGCATATTCACAATTTTGTAAGCCTCCACAAAATATCGCAATAAATACAGCACCGTGAGATGTATATCGTGAAAATATCGTACCGTGAGATTTGGATATCGTTACATCCCTAATATCTACATTTTGTAATTTGCGTATCGGATATTGTGGTCAGGGAAGGTGTATATTGAATTCATACACTGTTCACTGACCAATCTCACCACACACACACACACACACTTACGTACACACACAGCCAACAGCATCCCAGCTAAATGTTGTATTAATTACTGGAGAAACACTGCCGTACTGTATTTAATTACCGGCTAAGTGATCCATTTATGTTTCACCGCCGGCTAAATGAACAGGGTTAAGTGAGACGGAGCCATTGTAGCTCACTTAACATTTGAGCTGATATCTTTAAACTTCCGCAGTCTGAGGGCAGCGCTGTCAGAACACATCACACAACCAAATTAAATAATTGGCAGATGCAGCGGAAGGAGAAACACAAATATCGTATGAATAAAAACTGTTGATGACTAAATGTAGAGTTTGTGCACGGGGAATTCTCAACTGCTAATTCACTTATGACAATATGGGAAACATGCTCAAGAGCATTTGGAATAAGATAGGTATCTACTCAGGGTGTCAAAGGTATCGAAAATCAGATACTAATCGATATTAAACTAGTATCGACACTAGATATGCATGTGCGCAGGTATCACTGAAGAAAAAAAAATAATCACGAACTGGATCAAATTTGATTTTTGTTGAAGGATTTCATCTTGAGTTCTATCAGAACAATGTATGACAAGGGTGGGTGATTCTTTTTGCCATGGGGCCATGTGAGAAACAGAAAATATTGTGGAAGGCCGGCCCAAAATGCTTAACTCAATTCTGCATAATATTAATTATTTCTTTATAAAAAAAAAGCAGTAAATGGCATTGTTTTGAGGAGCTGGTAAGACCGGTAAGAGTTTATGTTATGACTAAGCAATAGTCAGGTTGGCTTACAAAAAAATGTCATAAAAAAAAAAAAACACCTCTCAAATAAAAGCAATGCCACTTTAGTCTATGCATGAGGTAAAATTATAAAATAAGCTTCTTTTGTAATTCTAAATTGGCTTAAACGGGCTGGACAGAGCCAAGCAAAAGGCCGTATGTGGCCAGGGAGGTAGACAATGCATAGATCTGATGTATGACCAGTTAATAAACAAATACTATTTTTTTTTTTTATTATTATTTGGTAAAATGACAATATGGTTTAAAATGATCATGTGGGTATCAAAATCTGAATCAAATATTGTATCTATTCCTTAATACCAAAAGCAAGTTTGAATTTTTAGTATAGTGACAGCACTAGTATCCACACAACAAGCTTTACATGTAAATGTGGCATTGTCACAAAGCAATTAATTGAATTTCAATACAATGAAGATCTAATCATTTGGAATTGTCAATAATCATTTGGGAGGTTTTAATTGAGAGGTCTACAGCCACTCCCCTGTCAATAAAAGCATGGTGGACTGAGGCAAAGTTCAGACTTTAGAAGGAGAAATTTGACTGTTTTCGTGTCAAACGGCACAGATAAATGTCTATTTTTATGTTCATTAATGATTAAAACACATATTTTTATTTACTTTTTACAATAAGATCAAAATGAATGGAATTTTGAGGTGTATCAATAAACCATTCATAATCACCACTTAACTTAATTGTTTATACATTGACTACTATACTGCACAACAGCAAAAAATAAACAAAAAACCTAATTATTACTTAATATAACCCATAATTTACATTTCATTCTTGTTAATCTTAAAGACACTATTTAATCAAATGTTATTTCCATCAAAATTGTGCATGAAAGAATCACTAGACCAAACTTGTCTGGAGGCAGTAGCAGTAGAATAAATCAAGTCACACAGTGTAGAGCACCTGTCACCCTGTCTGTCTGTGACTCTGTGTGGTCCAAGAAGCTCCTCATTTGAACCTATTAAAGGCCACTTACTCCGCAGCTCTGGTGATAAATATATTCTCCACACGCTCTGCCTTGGGGGTTCAAAGGTTTGGAGCTTGGACAAGGAACTGTACCTCCAGCTCTATGTTTAAGACATCAAGAGACCTTTTCATGACGCCAATTATATCAATTCTCATCTTGTACCATCAATTACTCCCTTTGAGCGCTACCAGGCCAGGTGCATAGGCGGAGGCAGCGGTGGAGCTGGCGGGAGCGGCGTGTAACCCAGTCGTGTTTACCCAATGTAAGGGAAGATCAGAAAAATGACATGAAAGACACCGGTGTTAAAAGAGGAGCACAGATCAAGGGTGATGGACCAGACCAGAGCCTGTGATGCTTAGTTAAAGACTAGCAGCACATTCCACGCTCGGGCTTGTCAGATACAAGTATGTCTACAGAGCTCTCTTCCACCTACATATCCCATTTACTCAACCTCGGGACAATTAAACACAAGCCTTCTCTTCATGATTGACAGCGGGGTCATGACATTATGGAAAAGAGCATGCATAGGTTAGAGAGAGAGCATAGCCATATTTTAATGTATAAATAACTCTTGTATAACTATTTCTATACCCACACAAATCTATGTCGGAGTTTGACAGCATTAGCACGCATTATGAAAACACTACTTGGCCTCAAGTTAGCAAAGCGTTTAATAAATAAATAAAAAAAAAACAGCATGCCCTCCGTAGGCGAGATGCTAAAGGACAGTGTGGTGCTCACCTTAAAGTTGGTTTGTCTGTTGGGAGATGGGCCGGTGAGAGGGGTTTTTTGCGAGGGCAGTTGCGGTGGTGGTGTCTGCGTTTGTTGTAGTTGTTGCAGGATCTGGGACTGCAGTTGGTGGAGCTGCTGGTCTTTCTGAGCGAGCTGGTCGCGGAGCTCCTGGAGGCTCTGTCGAAGCTGGGCCTCGCTGGAGACGAGGGCCTGGTAGCTCTGGCTCAGCTCCGTGTACAACTGTGTAACATATAAAAGAAAAGGCTGAATGGGGGATATATAAGAGCGGGTGTCTCAAGGCATTTTACATATGCGGTTTCTTCAGTTCAGTTTTTTCAAGGTTTAAAAAAATGTGCACACTGTTTAAATTATCTCACAACCTGAATTTTCTGCGTCGTTATTTCGTGCGTATAACAGGGACGGGCATTCACTCGTCGGGAGAATTAATGACAGATTTTCGATTAATCATTAACGTTTTTATATTAAAATTATTATCATTATTAATACTATTACTATTCTGCATAAATAAACTCAACTTTACAACATATAAACCATAACCACTATAGAGCCACATCAGCCCGTTTGAGATTATAATGTGTTTAATGCAGTTTTGACACATTTGTTTACGTTTTACAGAAACAAATCTTAAAACCACATGACTAATTTGCACTACAAGCACTGAAAACGCAGCTCTTTCCTTGTGCGCTGATGCGGTTCAGCTTCTGTTGGACTAATAAAGGACACGACTCAGTGGAATATGAGTGACAGAGGGGTGTTGATGATGATGATGATGATGATGAGTCTGTTCTGTGTGTGTGTCGTGTTGAAGATGGTTCATGTTTTCAGAGATCAGACGTGTGCAGGTTTAGAGCAGCTCACTCACTTTATTTATGTTGGTCACTTTATTTATTTTGGCTACTGTTGTGATGAAAAAACTGTTTGTCTTTTGGATGCATGTGACTCAACTTTATGTTGCAGTAACCTGGATACTGCATTTACATGCACCATGATGAAAGACTCAGCCTCATCTTCTTACATTACGCTAAGCACAGCAACCTACATTCGGTTTGTCAATTAATAATGAACGTGACTGACAAAATTCTTAACGATCAATTATCGATTAGTCGACTAATCATGCCCATCCCTGGGACCCCAGTTGACTCCCAGATAATACCTGAATAACTTTATTGACATCACAACATTCTAATTCATTTAATCACCCATCTGCAACTAATTTTCCAATGACAGAAGTGTAGCTTGATAAACTTGTGAATACCTTTTGATAAGAAGTAGCGTCTGCGTTGTGTGCCTCCTCCTGGTTCCTCATGACTCGCTGCGTGTCCAGGTTGAGGCCCTCCAACTGTCGGATCAGGAGGCTCTGATCTGCTGCATGCTCCGCACTCTGTCTGTACAGGGCCTGCACCTCTGCACACTCTTTCCTACAGAACATAAAAGCATTAGTGGAACATTTTATAGATACCTGTACAAACAGACAAATGTGGTACAACGAATAATAGAACAGGATATTTAGCTACAAAGTTGAAAAAACTGAAGCACTCACAAAGTACAAAATAAAAGTAAAGCTTTTATTATAAAGTTAAAATCACAGCGTTTCAGTCCTTCAGCCTTCATCAGGACAAACTCGACAAACTCGAGGAGGCTATCACTGATTTCAAGTAATAGTTGTAGGTCACCTGTTCAACATGAGAGAATTTAAAAATGGTGATATTGGGGTGCTGCACTGGATCAAAACTTACAAACACAGGTGCTCATCAGACCAGGGGGCTTGAATTCTTGTAGAAAAGAAAGAGGATGGCAGAGGCACTCTTATTTGCAGTTTATTTATTTGTGGTCACACCAACACGTTTCGACTGTTTATGAGTCTTCATCAGGGCTTGTAGGAGCTTTTAATTATTTTGTACAGTGTGTGTGCTTTAGTTTTTTTCCAGCTTTGTATTTAAAACTGGTCCCTGTACTGAAGTAGCCAGGCTGGCGCCACCTAGTGCCTCTGCTCAATTTCATTTCTCTCCAGCGACTAGGTCAGGAATCAGACTACAATAGACGGTTCGCAAAAACCCCGGAAGTGGAAGTTCGGGCACCAGCCAATCAGTGAAGAGTGATATATTCAGTGTTGGCAACGATTCCCGAGATCGAGGATTTAAAGTCAGAATAAAGAGAACATTTGGTGAATTTCATCAAGGGGAAAGACGTTATTGCCCTTCTTCCTATGGGATTTAGGAAAAGCTTAATATGCCAGCGAGCCCCGTTAGTGGCGCATTACCCGCCTACCATCGAGAGAACAAAATCTAAGGTGCGAGGTCAGATGGTTTGTACAAAGTGAAACGAAGTAAAATCAGCTGATGAATCAGGCTATTACTGAAGAGCACCAAAAGGACAATTTTGCTCAATCTCTAGACAAATCTCTAGAAGTAGCACTCATGCCTCACACATTTTTTGCAGGATATGTAGCCATTCACAGAGGAAAATATGTCACTGCAACTACTTAAATTGCTTTTGTTTTGACTGTGATTAATCTTGCAGCTCCACAGATTAGACTAGAATTTACTTAAAGGTGCACTATGTAATTTGTCTGGAGGTATGGCCCATCACCTGCTTGTCTCTGCGTAGATGTGCCTAGAACGTTCCACAGTTTGACCATAAACTTGCAAGCCAAATTACAAGTTAGATTTGTGGAGAGGTGACCCCACTTCCAGTAAGAATGGATGCTTTTAAAGATATTTTTGAGCAATAAATAACAGCTGTCGTTGAATGAGTATAGCTCTATAGAAAGTTGTGACGTTACCTGAGACCAGTAATAGAAGATTCAATTAATTACCTAACTCTTTATCAGAACACATTTCAATTTTTAACATTCCACTCCTCTTAGTAACTTCTCAGGACACGTCTAATCCCCACTTTAAACCCTTCGGATCGGTCTCCAGCCGAGGTGTGACTAACATGTCAAAGTTCCAGTGGCATTAAAACAGAAAAGTAGTTAAAAAAGGTTGAGATTACCGCTAAGACCCCAATGGTTCTCACAGTTTTTATCATATCGACTAAAGCTTAGCCAAAGCCTGCCCCGTTTCCCTTTCCTCCCTCCTTTAAAGCACATCCACTATGCAGGGCTTATCAAGTGGCTTTAGGTGAGCCGGAGTGGAAGAAATCTCTGTCACCCTGAAGCCTCGTAGCATAGTGAGAAATATACCATCTCTGCATTCAGTCTACAGCTACAGCTAAGATTACTTCTGATTAAGGATGGCAAGTTTATTAAGTTAATCAATAATTGTGTTAATGTAGGTCACAATATTATATTAAGAGCTAAAAAGTAATAATCGTGACAGTTTAAGATACAAAATAATGTAATTTCTGTTCAACTTATACTCCAAAAAAGCACAGTTAAAGGGCCTATATTACACAAAATTGACTAAGGGGAGCTTTAAACCATGTTATAATGTTGTTACCTCATCAAAAACAAACCCTGGAGTTGTGTTTTGTTTAATTTACATAATTCTGAGTAATCCTTTATTATTAGTCTGTCTACATCTTCAAAAAGCTAGAGATGTGATGCAGTGGTAGTTTTCAAGTTAACCGCTATGTTTTACCTAAAAAAACTCCTAAAAAGTAGTATCGAGACTAGATATTCATTTGAGTCACCTGGATGACTGAACGATTACACAGATATAAAGCCATGTAGTAATATAAAAGAAAGTACTATGATTTAATAGTGAAAATGACATTCTATTGTCTAAATAAAGAGTGTTTTTATTATCATTTTAGTGTCAGATTTGGTATTCAGCATCAAGTCAATTCCCAAAATCGTGTTTGAAATTTTAGTATCGTGACTAGGGCTGTGCAGAAATATCAAAACATCGATATATCGTATCGTTTAATGTGATGATACAGTATTGATATCGTGGGCTGCTGTATCAATATATCACCAAGAGTATTTTTTGGTATATTTTACAAAATTATTATGTTACAGCACTACAGTTTTGTTGCTTGTTTAGTGGACAGAAGTTTGACATTTTCACTGTTTAGATGATTAAAATGTTTGTGTTTCATATGAACTTTGCACAAGAAGTGGTTTAAAAAAGACTTTTAGTATTATATCCATCATTTAGGCTTTTTTTTTTTTTACTGTATAAAATCGATTTCAAACGTATCGTATTGAATCAAAAGTGCACTGTATCGAGATATGTGTCGTATCGTGGCCTATGTATCGAGGTATCAGCAGATTCTTAATGATACTAAGCTCTAACCGTGCCAAAACTAACTGTAACATGTTACAGTAAAGTAATAGAAAAGAAAGAATATTATTTCACTGTTTTGGTCATGGCGTCAATAATGCTGACTAATCATTAAATTGTGGTGTTTTTTTCTCACAATAATCGCAACAGTAAAGTTTGTTATCATGACATGCCTACTCCTGATTCACTTTTGATATGACGTTACAAATGAGCAGCTCGTCTCTGTCAGGGTGAAGTTGTCTGACCGGAGTTGTGAGAGTTGCTCCTCTTTTGTCATCAGTTCTCGGTCTTTGGCAGAAAGCTGCGCTGCCAAACCGCCGCTGTGGCTCTGCACGGTGGAGAGCTCCTGCCAGGTCCTGTGCAGCTCCGCCTCCAGCTCCTGGTCAAAGCAACAAACTTTTCACAAACAGTACTAAAGATTTTAGACTATAACAATAGACAAAGCAAATTTACTTGTATTTGATTTTGAATTCCAGTATTTATTGCAGTTTACGAGCTTGAGAACTAGTTATTAATATTTTTTATACCAAGGTCGGAATTACTCAGTGTATTTCTCATATCATTGTATTTAATAACTTTATTGTTACTGGATTCTCCACTGTCCTAAATAACAGTGTTATGTCTCATCAGGTGAAGTGTCTTAGGCTGATGGACGTGCAAAGACTTCTGCTGGTCACTGTCCATGTGTAATTACTCTGCAGCTCTGACTTATTCAGCTCTTCCCCCCACCTTCGCCCAACTAAAGGAAGAAGTTTTCTACAGATTGGTTTTTCCAGGGTACAAATGGAAGATTCTGCTACTACATCTTTAATCTGGGACTTCAGCATCAGCAACAAGGACATCAAAACTTGCTGAGAATTAATATTACCATAAGGCAAATCAAATAAAAAAGTATATATATATATATATATATATATAAGTATTTCTGTAGTCAATGTATCTAACAAGTACTTATCAATGCATCTGATTTGTACTTTGTTTTATTTTATCTGTACTAATTAATAAATTTATTATATATATTTATATATTTTTGATAAATATTTGAAATGTACTTGTTTGAAATGTACTTGTTTAGATGTATTAGATATAGTGCGTAGAGTGCACCCTGACTGTGACCGGGATTAGCTGTTGTTATATAAATGAAGACCATAGGTGTCCTGCTTGTCCCCACATACCTTGACTCTCTCCTGGGCAGTGTCCCTCTGCTCCCTCTGGGCACAGATCTGCCTCTCTCTCTCCTCCAGGTCAGATCGCAGGGCAGCACAGCGGGCTTCTAATCCCTCTTTCTTCTCCTCCAGAGCCTGCACCACCCGCTGATCCTCCTCCCTCTGCCTTTTACACTCACTCTTCATTTCCTGGAGAAGATACGTGTGCGAGGATGGGGTCACATGGGCCAAATAAACAATGGGCACAGAAAAGACTTTGGAACAAAAAAGATTCACCAGTGAAAAAAGAAAAATAACCTGGCAGACAGTGGGTGAGATGAATATGTAAAAAGTGGATGGACTGTGCAGTGGGAGGCCCCTGCATGGGCCCCTGATTGGCCAAGGTCACCTGTGCTGTACGACTGTGTGACGGGGCCCTCATGGCCAGATGTTGGCCGGTGCACACAGACACATGCTGCAGGAGCCAGGCTCACGCAGGTACAGGGGCCAGTCTGTCTGCTTTAATGACAGCCTCCTAATGAGAATGCAGCTTCTGCAAGACCCATTAGACTCAGGCCCGCTCTGCTTTGAAGCTGTCCCCCACCATTTCCCTCCATGAGACTGTACTAAGACCATGTAAGGACCGCTCCTTTATCAATTAATCATAACCAAGTCCCATCGAAGTATAATTAGGCAGAGGCCACACCATCACACACACTTCTGCTACCGAAAGAGTCATTAAGTATTTATCTACAAGTTAACAACCTGCTTTCCTCCCTCTCCTTCACATGCACACACACACTTCTCCAGCTGTTAAGTATTCTCTGTTGTCAGTGTGAGACAGAGGTAGAGCAGAGACAGGGTGAAAAGGCAGGAGACAGTGATGCTGTGTGCTGCAGAGGCTGAGCTCCTTAAATCATTGAAGCGCCCGTGGCTATAGCCGAGGGGGACTTGTTGGGTTTGGTGTCACAGGGACGGAGGCTCACACTGTCACAGAGCATTTGTTTCACCCACTGTGAGCTCCAGGCTGCGGGCCTCCAGTTGTTCTTGCAGAGCTGTGACTTGGTTCTTCATTACGGCGCTCTCCTCCTCTGTCAGGCCCCTATGCACCGAGCTGCTCAGCTCCTGTTGCTGCACTGCTACCTTCTGCAGGACAAACACAAACATACAGAAAAACAAACAACTTAAAACAATGTAAAAATGTGAGAATGTTAACATGTTTTTTCTGAATGTGTCCACTCTATAAATGAAGGGGAGGAAGTCAATGCTAAATACCTACAATGAAACCAGTTCACTATCTAGAATAAAATGTAAAATTACAAGCCCTGAGGAAAGCTCTCTGGTTAGTAGCAAAACATTGGCACTTGTTTTTGTTTAACTCCAGGATAATATCATATTCAGTGATATCTTATTTCTGGATGTCTCAAATACAAGTTTACCTTTTTATGGATGTGTCATGAGTGTTTTTTTGTCCAATAGTGATATATCAGGCACATTTAGAATAGAATTGGACATATTACCGTATTTTCCGCACTATAGAGCGCTCTGGATTATAAGACGCACTGTCATTGAATGGTCTATTTTCAAACTTTTTTCACAAATAAACTGCACCGGACTTTAAACGAAACACAGCAGTTGGATGGCTCAGTGGGATTTCGTTTGGCACGTTCACGGTGACTCTGGGCTTTGTTCAGTTGTGGCGTGTAGGGAGGGTGTGTCTGGGACCGCTGGATTGTCGGCGTGTTCGCAGTGACTCAGTTGTTCAGTTGTGTCTAGAAGTGGCACATTGCCTCGCTTTTTTCGGTTCGTTCCTCCGTTCCGTTCCTCGTCGGTGTGGAGTGACGGGTGTGTCTGTGGGTGTTTTTCGCTGTGCGGTCGCTGTCTGTTCCGTGTGTGTTTGTGTGTTCTGCGGGTGGTGCGGCTTTGTAGTTTACTGAAGTCGTGCTGGGACAACGAGTGGATTTGTGTATAGGGCGCTCTGGATTGTGGGGCGCGGTCGTTTTTTGATGGGGTTGGAAGCTTAAGAGTGCACCCTATAATCTGGAAAATACGGTAATAAAAAATTGACATTTCTGAGGATTTATTACCAAATTTTAGAGTGGATTCATTCTCTACAGTAAACCTTTTTTGTTTTGCTTTGTTTTGTTTGAGTTGGTGTTAGTAGCCATGTTCGTACAAATGAGATTACACAGATTACACACCATCTTTGCAGTTCAGTGCTCAAAAACTTCTTCTAAAATGCATGGATTTCTTGTAGTAGTTAAGCAGTTCATTTTTCTGTCCTCTCTCCAAAGATTAATTCTCCTGGAGATGTAAAAAATCTGATCACCATTTAAATCCCATATCTCATTGAAATACTCGGAAGAAACGCTCAAAATGATCAAACTATCATAAGAAATTCATTAGCCCTATACATCTCCGTGTTTATTTCACTATAGGCCAAGAGCATATGCATATTTCAGTACATATTGTTCACTTCCTGTTTTTTTGGCAGCAGAAGTGGCCATAGTAGGCAGAGACTGGCCTCTTTCCTCAGTCTCACCTGGGGTTCGGCGTTGGCTCATAATCCGCAGCCTTCTTTGGGTACACCCTCCTCTGAAATAACACCGTGCTCTGGGATGCAATTAATTGTATGGGGGGGGAATCACAGCGATATATACCCAGATAGCGGATTTAGCGTTCCACCGTACTCCGAGCTCGCCGTGCAAAGAACAGAGGGGCTTTAATAGAGATTTATACCGGCGAGCGGAAAATACATTCAAACGTTGATAATGAGGTAGGCGAGAACAATTTGAGGCTCAATTGATAGACAAGAGGAATAGAGGGAGGAGGACGGGGGTGTCCAGGAAGTTAAGAGGTCTAGGACAGAGAGATTAGCAGTCAGAAAATTCCCAGTGCGATTCAAAATGAAAGCTAATTATGTTACAAAAATGAAATGGAGCAGCAAGGGAAAGTGAATAAAGTATAACGTAGAAAAGACATCATGGTTGGAGATTTTCGTTTGACAACTTCAATAATATTTAATCATTATCGGACAAATATGCATCGCTGGGATTATGTAATAGAATTGTATTTTTATTTGTAATACGCTCAGATCCAGTGTGTTTATATTTTAATGTTCTAACTAGAAGCCATGCACGATCATCAAAAGTTAAAAGGAGCATCAGTTTTAATCAGGGCATCTGTCATATGTCAAAAACTTTCATCACAGTCCAGTGAGGTTCACTTGGTCTTCAGATAATTTATGTGTTTTTTTTTTTTTTTTTTTTGTTTATAATGCGATCTGATCTGAAAATTCTAAAATGTGAATTATAATAAAAAATAATGAAATATGACTTATGTCCTTTTAGTCAAAGGGGTCTACAGCCAGTCCTCTGTCAAAAATCATGTTATTTGGAGCAGGATTCAACTCTTGGAAGGTTAAATAAAAAAAGTGAAGAATACTGAAAGACAAAAAAATCTAAAATTGTGATGAATGTTATGTTATTAAGTTATTTTTTTAGACCAAGAGTTTGCTTTTCATACCTGACAGTTTCGACTGATCACTAGCGGTCTTCATCAGAGTGTCACATATGAAAACAAACCCTTCGTCTGAAAAAAGAACTTAATAACATAACATTCATCACAATTTTAGATTTTTTGTCTTTCAGTATTCTTCACATTGTTTTATTTAACCTTCCAAGAGTTGAATCCTGCTCCAAATAACCCAATTTCACTGACATAGGACTGGCTGAAGACCCCTCGACTAAAAGGACATACAGTAAGTCATATTTTATTATTATTTTTTATTATAATTCACGTTTTAGAATTTTCAGATCAGATCCCATTACAAACAAAAATAGTTTAAAAAATAATAATAATACTGTTTGTTACAGTGTTTTACAGTCATTTGTAATATTGTCATTCTCCATCAACATTTTTGCTGTGTACAAGTTTTTACTTCCTCCCACTCCCTTTTCGGACACAAGTAAAATCTGCGTGACATTTATTTTCACTTATTATTACAGAAAAGAAATATTTACTTTATGTGCTATATCTATGTATTAATGTTCTCTATGTATGTTCTATGTATTACTGTCCGAATAAACATTTCATTCATGATTGTGTACTTTGGGACTTTTTGGTCCAAAGTACACAATTGTGCTTTAAGACTTTTACATGATATTTATTCTTTTTGATTATTGTGCCTTGTGTCTGTTTTGTGTCTTCTGGGTCACATGACTGTGGTCACATGACTGACATTTTACTGTAAAAGGGAGTGACCTGGTGTCCTCACAGTTTTACTCCTAAGCCCTGATGAAGAAACTCAAACATAACAAAATGTGCTGAGTATGTAAAACCTATTAAATCGGACTTTATCTGAAAATGAATACTGTAAACACATCTCTATTGACATTTCATTGAACGATTGTACAGCACTCTTCTCCTCTGTGTTTGTTTTTTTTTGGTTTGCTTGTTTTGTTTACTTTTTTCGTATAACTGAAAAAAAAAAAAAAAAAGAAACTCAAACATAACAAAATGGACAGAGTATGTAAAAGTAGAAAAACTGTAAAATGTAAAATTAGATTGGACTTTATCTGAAAATTAATACTGTAATTACTAATACTAACACACCGATTGACATTTCACTGAACGATTGTAGGGCACTGTTCTCCTCTGTGTTTTTTTTTTTTTTTTTTTTTTGTATAACTGAAAAAAAAAAAAAAAAAAAAAAACACACTCAGACATAGACTGGCCCATGTCTCAATAAATTATTTTACTTTTTTTGTACACTAGACTGCCTTGGACTTTCTTCAGCTCCACTACCGTTCACATTTCTACGTTAATATGTGCTAAACTGTTCCTCCAAAAATAAAATAATATAAAATTTTAGCAAAACATAACCAGCTGGTCGAGGTAAAAGTCAGTTTCATTTTATACTGCACATAAACTATGCATAAGTCTAGAACCTATTAGGCATCCAGGCTTCATAAAGTGCTTTAGTGGTGTTTAGTGAACTAAAGAGGGGAAAATACTGGCAACCTCATGACTTTACTGCTGCCAGTCTCATTAAGTACAGTCTGGTTGAGGGATGCTAATGAAAGAGACTTTGCTGAGGGAGGAGGAGAAGGAGGAGGAGGAGGGGGAAACTGCATCAGCCGTGCCATTATTGTTATGGGCTTAAAAAGTCGTGTTGATTAGGCTCGACACAACATTTCATTTTTATATGAAACAGAAAAGCACTGAGACGTTTACATTGCAAAAACAAACAGACATAATGACACTTCACAGCTCTGACTGGACAGAGATAATGTGGATTATTATGTGTGATGTTATGTGTAGTAACTGGTACTTTGAGTAGCACTTTGTATTAGAGATCAACAGATATATCGCTTGATCAATGTATGGGGCTGATATTTGCACTTTAGCGTACAGTCTGATCATTTGTTTAGGCCAACCTGATGCCGAAAGAATATGCATAAAGCTTGATTTTAACACTTTAGTGCAAAGAAATGAATGCACAAAATGGGAATACATGGCTCTCTTTTAGGTCTGCAGTTTTAAAAAAAAAGGGCTGTGGGGGAGTCTGTAGTAAATTTCATCAATAAGTCAATAAGTCTGTAATAAATCAAATTAATTAAATAAAAATATATTGGCAGAGTTTAGCGGCCTTTGGATTCCAACAATGGATATCTCATGAAAAAACAACAAAGCTCCTGGGCCCGGTCAAGCAGAAGTAAACAGCAAGGCCAAAAATTCAAGTTAATGCATCTGATATAAAAATGTATTCAACAAATAGCATATGTACTCTAGTTTATGAAACTGTTTACCTTTTTTCTGTACCATTTTTGGTTCTAAAGTTCCATACGTTTTAAACAGACCATGTATGAAACATGGAACAAAAATTATTTCCCAAATTTCAAAGACCTGCAAATCATGTAAATAAATGGATGTATTTCATCATATCTTGTGTTATTCCATCTTTGAACTGTTGATGAAGGTACATGATTTTTCAAAATAAATGTATTTAAAATGATAAAAATTTGCTTGGAAGGACTGACATATTTTATAGAAATAGTTTCCTTTCATTTTGAAGTAATATTAAAGTATTCAGAAGAAAAAAGTTGACAAATTCTGCAAAATCATGCACCTTCTACTTGTTTGCACAATTTTCCCTCCGTTACTTTTCCCTCCGTTACCATGACCTTTCTTAATAAAAAATCTCATTACTCAAAAAGTAAGAGGTTTTTTCAACCTAATCTCATATTCTCATATTCATATTCTATCATATGGTAGAAAACTATATGAAGCAAATATTCAAACCAGTTTGTTAAGGATATGTAAGTGAGAACCGCTAGTTATCACTGTTTGTATTTATTGCCCAAAAAGTGTTGCATATTTCATTCCCTCCGTTACCGACATGAGTTTTTTAAATTTTTTGTCAACAACTTGAAATAATATTGCAGGTTTAACTTTACCCTGTTGGAGTGTAACTCTTTCCTACATTCTGATACTTTACTTATTTCAATAGTCCCTCTAGTTTCTGAATAAGAGACATTTTGAATGTAAAAAATCTGCCCCTGTTTCCCTCCGTTACCACTTGACCGGACCCATATAGCTCAATCTCTATTTAGTATGTTGTACTTTCACCTGCTGCATTGTTACACTTGAGCACATTTTTAGGCAAGAACAATTTTTCATTGCTCATTCCACAACTGCTCAAAACTGTACCTGCTCCAGCTCTTGGATTCTGAAGTCCTTGGACTGCAAAATTTCCAGCACCTTCCTGTCCTTCATCTCAGCTTTGTGCTTTTCTCTAGAGAGTAGAAAACACAAGATATTTAGGTCACAACTTAGAACAAAACCTTTGTACATCTGTGTAATATAAGAAGTTACGACTGAAACTGAATTTTTTTAAGTCTGTTATTTGCAAATTCTTGCGTGGTTAAAATATTATTTCCAACTTAAGCATGTCGTTTAAATGTAAATACTGTGAGATTATTGTTCACTAAGAACTACACAGAGAAAACTACAGTGAAAAATGACTATTCCCAGAGCAGCACTAAGCCCATGCTCGCTCCTCTTTTATCATGATAAACTTTTAGGGAGACAAAAACAGAGCCGCGTTGTGGGACCTGTTTGTTTCTACTGCATATGTCCCACTGGGGCCACCATCCCAGCAGCGCTCATCACTTACACCTATCCACGGGACCTTTCCTCGTGTCTCTTTGCCTCTTGATCGCCCGCCCCCTCCCCTGGCGCGCTCTGAAATAAGTACGAGGGGGGGTCCTGGGGGGGTGAGGAACTACATCTCCCTTGTACGTCGGGGCTGTATTCGCCATGTCCTGAGCATCCAACCAATCACTGAACAAGAGCGGCCCGGGAAGGGGAGGGGTCGCAGGGTGGAGGGTCCCAGTGGGTGCCAGCGCTTGACTGGAGTCGACACAATTATCATGTCAATATCCTCGTGTGGATCAGGTGATACAGAGCACCTACACTCTCCGGGCGCGTGTTTCCTTCGCTCGCGCACTTTTGATGGGCTTCCTGAGGGGCCCGGAAGGTGGGGAAGGAGCAGAGGGACTGAGAGAAGAGAACTGATGACTCGGTTTCTCTCATTCTACTGAGGAAAGTGTTTCAAGTATCTGAAGTTTTTAGTTTTTTAGATTTTTTGTCATTTATAAATCCAGATTTTTTAAAGGTTCCACATTATGCTGAATTGACCCTTGTGAGCTTCAAGACATGTTTGAATGTTTACGCTGTTAGGCTCTTTTTTCAGACAGGGCTGGGTATCATTAAGAAGTTGCCGATACGATACATTTGCCACGATACAATACATAACTTGATACAGTGAGCTTTCAATTTCATACGATATATTTCAATTCGATTTGATATGGTTCAATAAAAATAAAGGCTACATCATGGCTGTGATACTAAAAAAGTCTTTGTTAAACCACTTCTTGTGTAAAGTTCATATGAAACACAAACATTTTAATCATCAAAACAGTGAAAATGTCAAATGTGTCGCATAACTGAGTTTCCTTCCTCTAAACAAGCAACAAAACTGTGGCACTGTCACAAAATAATTGAGTAAAATATCCCAAAAAATACTCTTGCAGTCCACGATATCGATAATGTTTGATCACATTAAGCGATACAATACATATATTCATTTCCATATTTTTGCAAGTGTTTGTTTTCATACAAACACTTTCGATTGCTTTTCGATTGCTCAGAGTGTCTGATCGGACTGGACACGTCGCAGCAACATCACGTGAAGACTCTGAGGAAGACCGCTAGTGAGCAGTCGAAACTGTCAGGTATGAAAACAAATTCTTGGTCTGAAAAAAGAACCTAATAACATAAATTATTAGTAGACAAAATTTACCTCATTGGGTGTTTGAATATTGTTACCTCATCTAAAACAGAACTGGAGTTGTGTTTTGCTTCATTCACACGTTTGAGTACACTTTACTATTACTCTGTCTACATCTCCAAAGGTCAAAATGCGCCGTTCCACCTTGTGATGTCACGTTAACAGCTACAGTTTACCTTTTCTTCAATGGAGATTTGCTATTCCAGGGCTGAAATTAACCAAACGATTTTAGCGAAAGTGTATGGAGTTAAGAACACAGTGGAGCACTTTCTGTATTACCACATGACATCACAAGGTGGAACAGTGTTTTCCGGTTGAGAGAAAAAAAACACGGCCTAAATATGCTGTTTTTGTGTGTTAAACATGTGTGAATCAAAACACAATTCCAGGTCTGTTTTTGATGAGGTAACAACATTATAACATAGATCTGAAAACGGTGTAATCTGTTCCCTTTAAGACCAGCCCTCAGCTCTCCTCGGAAAGTTCCCATGCCACTGTTTTGAGTATAGCTTAGACACGCAGCAAAAAGGTCATATTCCGTCTCACAATTTATCCGATAAAGACGCGCACACTTGGCAGACGAGTATCAGCTGTCCAGAGCGGGAGCAGAGGAGGCGAGCGTTTTCATTAAAGAGGCTTCCGTGGATGAACCTGTAGACCGGGGATAAGCAGGCTTAAATCAGCATCGGCACCAGATTCCCCGGTAACCCCCAGCAGAATGGCCCCGGTGCCTTAAAAACCCCCGTTCCCACTTTCACACATATTTCTCCGACTCGCCGTGAGATAAAGGAATTTTCTCGGGTAAAGCAATTTGAGAGACGAACGCGCTCACCGCTCCACCACCAAACTGACAGCCTGGGTCAAGTCCGGATTGGCCACTTGTAGACGTTTCCATAGGGACCACACAAACTCCTTGTCCGCCTGTGGAAATAAAAGTTGAGCAGTTTATTTAAAAAGGAAATGACATGTTTACCCAATAATACGCTGTAATGTGAATCATCTATGAACACATGAAGTCCACCTGAATGGGTTTGAGACAGACCTGGGCATTGTACAGCTCCCAAGTCACATACGTACGGCCCTTTAATAGATTCTGACCGGCCTGTTTAAGATCATTTGGATTTACAAAATAATCATACTTTGCTACATTGCTTTTATTTTAGAGATGTTTTTTTTTAATGACATTTTTGTAAGGCAACCTCACTTTTTCATTGCTTAGTCATAAAATAAACTCTTACCAGTCATACCAGCTCGTCAAAACATTGCTATTTACTGATTTTTATAAAGAAATACAATTAATACTATGCTGAATTGAGTTAAGCACTTTGGCCTGGCCCTTCACAATATTTTCAGTTTCCACCCCTGGTTTAAGATATTAGTTTATCAGTTCATATTTCAGTCAAAAGTTACTGCTGCTGGTGTTTATTACAATGTGAATTTTGGACAGAATCCTACATTTTAATAACCACATACTGCAAATTGGATTGTAGTCAAAATACTTGTAGAAAAAAAATCGCAATTAGACTATTTTCTAAAATTTAGCAGACCTGTTACATGTCTGCGTAATCCCTCAGTTGTCCAGGCAGGTTCCAGTGTAATTCTTAATGTAATTCGTTGAAAGTTGACACAAGTTTCAGAGTAAAGACATCTCCACACAATATCTATGTGTGGCTTCTTCAGTTCTGACTCCAAACTGGTGAGTCACTGCCTTTGCCATATATACAGTAAATATAAAAGCCCTGTTACATGCAATAAAGCTCCAGTTAGTTTAGGCAGGAACAAGTATTAACATTGAATTAAATCTCACGCTGCACACACGTAACACTGTGCCAGAATTGTGACTGAACAGCAGAGTGAGTCCATCTTAAAACCCGTAGCTACTGGAATTCGCACCCTACTCCAACTCTTGAAGACGCAGAAGATGTATTGAAGAATACAAACTAACAAATAAACAAGATTTTAACATGTATTTAGTGTACCCATATCTGTCCTGAATTAATTTGTATAAAAATGAAGAAATGTCAAATAAGGAAAACCGCTGAATACAGCTAGAAGCCCAGAAAAATGAAAGAGGGCTCTCGGTGACATTAGCATAAGACAGAACTGCCAGCGATCAATAATTTAACGATCTTATACAAATAATTTTTGATCTGCTCTGCCCTCTCTAATTACGCGGCGCTCTTAACGGGGATCTTCATCACTGAGATGTGACCTTCGACTCAAGGGGAGCAGGCATTGACACTTGTCATTATGCACTATTTATGACCAGGGAGCCGCCGTCCAAATCAAAACTGGAGCTTGCTGCGTTTTTCTTATTAATCAATTGCTTTCTCCAGATGTGTTTTTCCACCGCCGCTGCAAAGTAACTAGCCCCAAAGAAACTCCAAACTGATGACAGAGAGAGTCATCCTCAAGCGCAGCGCCCGCCATGCCCCTGACACATTTCCAATTCAAATTGTCTCTTTGCTTTTTCAAACATTTTTAAGCTACATTACATTTAATGAGGGACATCTAAAAAGTACATTTTCTGACATTAAAAGACAGAATTATACCAAATCGACTTAATATAAAATTATCTGATAAATTATGTTCACATCATCAGAAGATAAAAGTCCTCCCTCCCACTGGAATCTACTGGTCTCCAATTAGTACATGAATCTTAAGCCCCTTCTCAAAAGTGTCTTATCAATTATTTAGTCAAATGGCAGAAGCAGACCTTGATACGACCATGAGCTCGACATACAAAGTGGAGGAGCGTGGATACTCATGTCAGTAAGCATTTGTATGTGTACACAGTTAGGATGAAGGGTCCATCCAAATGAGTCGTCCAAACAGCAAACCAAGAAAATTAACCAGCAACTTGAAAAAGCTCTGGCTCCGACTGGCCTTTGGCTGCCATTAGACGCCCCGCATGTGCACACGTGTTCAGGCAGGCTCATCAAGGCCCTCTCATCTGCCATACGCTCTTTAAAACATGCGATGGATGTCTGTTTGATGATGGCTGAATTATTCATTTGAAAAATCTAGACACTAAAACACCACGGGCTAAACATACCAAAGAGGGAGCCACTGGAATCAAGCCACATATTAATAACATTAGCACTGGTCTAGTAGGATCATTTGCTGCTCTACAGATCAGTCTTTTTCTCCTTAATGGTCGTCCAGAAGTACATGGTGCCGGAGACTTAAAACTTCAATGGTATTCAAATGCCACGGTTTAAATGGTACAGTACACGACTTTAGGTCCTTATTAGATAGACAGAATCACTGATGGCCTTCCCAAGATGAGACCACCAAGGACGGGCTCTGCTCACCAACAGGCTGTGAGAGAACTGACGATTACAAGGAAACTAGAAACATCAACGCTCTTAAACCGTCCAACTCTGGAGCTGGTCAAATACAACTGAAGTGACAATGAGAATCAAAATGTGAAAAAAGACCATTAGGGAGCTCTTAATATAATGTTATTATCAAGAGGTTGTGAACATACAAAAATAATGATACAGTTTAAAAAATCTTAGATTTAGTTCATGTGACAGTGTGTACAATATTGTTGGGACAGTCTTAGCATCGTTCTGCATCTGTATTTCCACATTCTGCATTTGTATTTTCAACTACACAATGAAAATGTGCTCAGCATTCTTTTCATCATGTGACATCACGAAGTGTAAATCTATGAATGTTTGGATGAATGAAAATGACACTTAAACTCTTCTTAAACAACACTGTCACCCTAACTTTTAAAATATGACAAATAAAGTAGAAATATTTCTGTTGCTAAAGACAAAAACTTCACAAGAACTGTTCCTGTCATGTATTACTTTCACATAACGTTGTTGTTTAACACCAGTCTACCTGCATGATGAGTTAGTACTCATCGCAGTGCTCATCTGAGCATATGCAAACTGAGAGCTGAGTTCACTTCTCTCACGCTTTTAGGCACCACCTGGTGGTGAGCATGCAGGGACAGCCTCTACAGTCACAGAGAGAGGGGAGGAAAAGGCTGGCATCGTGCTTCTGCATCTCTTAAAAGTACAAAATCTCACCTGGGGCAAACTTGAATGTTATTTATGAAGACTTTTATGTCACTCATTAGATAATATATTGTTTATAATAATGTTTTGGTCATGACCATTAGTCGGAAGAAAACTGAAAATGTACACTCAAATAAAAGCACTGGTATATGGCTAATAATGTACTCAATCACAAATACAAGTATTACTGACAAAATATTACTTTAGTACATAAAGTATGCATGAAAAAAAACTACTAAGAATACTATTCATTACCTACTACACAGTTTAGATCAGTATTTTATACAAAAGTTGATCACATTTAAAAATGTACACAAAAAAGTAAAATTACCCCCAAAAATCTACTCACTTTCAGTAACAGAGTATTTGTAATTAGTTACTTTCCACCACGGCCATGGCATATGGACATACATAAGGACCTTTATAAATATATTCATATGGCAATATAGTACAAGAACAACTTTATGACTTTATATGCCTAAAATGTGTACATTAATTTCAAATTTGCATGTGAAACAAATCGATCAGCTACAGAAGACAACCAATTATGCAGATAAACCTTTTAGCCTACCTTATAAGCAATGCACATTACACAACACTAAATAGATACTATATTGAATGTCACTACAGTCAAAGACCAGATTATGTGTCTTGGTGCAATGACTAATAGACTAATTATTTTTAGACACAAGTACAAAATCGATAGACAGCCTGTTGGAGTGTCACTAGTGCTGTTTACTTTCTGATTAATGATCCAAAAACAGGTTACCTCATTCACACGCTGTTATTGAGTTATTAATGGTTAAATAATACAGACCTGGCACTGCGTAAGCTCATCTGATAACATCTTCACTTGCTCCTCCAGCGCAAGGATCCGTGAGTCACTGTCATCTGTGATTATAGTGGGACTGGGAATAAAGAAAGAAAGAAAATAATAATAATAAATCACCGGTTTATTACAGGTTAATGATGTTGATGCTATTAGTAAATACACTGTAAACGCAGCATATTCCAGATAAATTATGTAAGATACAGGGTGGCGTTATAAAAATACAGCTCACACTTACCTCTCCATGGTCTCTGCCTGAAGAAAACTCCACGATGTAAAACTTTATAATAATAAATGTGAAAAAGATGCTAGCGAAGTTTAGCTACGCGTCGTAAACGTGTACAAGTGTCACATTTTTGCACTGACAGCCTTCACTAAAGCATTTTAATCGTGCCCACGCGTCTCCAAAAGTTAATAAATCGCAAATATAGCGATCGTGTGTCTCTGTTGCTAAGGATGGCGCAGGTTTCGTAGTGCAAAACACAGTTGTCAACAATAAACCCCCGGCGCTTCCTCCTGTTTCAAATGAGCCGCTGTTTCCTGTCTGCGCGGCCTTTTACGACACTTTCACACGCTTTACGGCTTCTTGAGTTTTATGAATGAAAAGTTTGCAACCGCGTTTGGATGGAAAATTATATTTCCTTGGCTTCCAGGAAAGGCAGTTCATAGTTTATGCTTCTTAGGAAACTAAAATAATTTACAGCTTGTCTGGTTGTCACTCGATGTGAGCTTTCTGAATCTTTCATTTTATACTTATTTATAGGCGATTTAATTGTTTCAGACACGCAAAGTACATGCAATAAAACATGTCTGTGGAGAGGCAGTTTCACACAGTATGAAAGAATCAGTGCTTTTCGATGTGTAATCGTAAAAACATGTCATTTAATACTGCACGGCAAGATTATCCAGCAGCAGATGTAATGTAGAGGTCACGATGCAAAGGACTCTAGGCTGAAATGACTCTGAATTATTCCTTTAAATGTGGTATAAAAAAAAATAAATAAATAAAGTTTCAATTTGACTTAAAAAAAAAATACTTAGAAATAAGAAAAATCTTAGAAATGAGGGAAAGACTGACCGCGCCCTTGTGTCCCCTATCACAGATTTATCCAAGACCAGTGATTTGTCCCAGTTTTATTCAAGAAATGTCCCAGGTGTCCCTATTTTTGACCAGTTTGATCCCTGCCAACAGTAAAGAGAAGCATACATTGTCATTTGTTTAGGTAAAATACAGAAAAGCTGCTTAAAAATGACCAAAACACAAAGAAAATGTGACTATAGTGACTCACATTAGTGCTGAGTGCATAACAATTTTTCTTGATTGCACACTAGTTTCACAATTTTATTATTACCAACCCAAACCAGGGATGTCCCAGTTTTTTGTTTTGAAAATCTGGTCACCCAGGTTATTTATTGTTTCAGACAGGCAACGTGTATGCAAAAAAAAAACAAAACAAAAAAAAAAACAGGTAAAATCTGTGGAGAGGCAATTTCACACAATATGAAAGAGTCTTTGCTTTTCAATATTTAATCATAAAAACATGTAATTTAATATTGCACGGCAAGAAAGAAGTTAGTATAGAAGAAGGGTGACCAGATTTTCAAAATCAAAAACTGGGACATCCCTAGTTTGTAGTGGTCGGTAAAAATAAAATTGTGAAACAAGTGCATAATTAAGGAGGATTCTTATGCACTTGGTCCATCGATGACTTATTTATGACTAATACATACTAATGTTAGTCAGTATAGTCACATTTTCTTTGTGTTTTGGTCATTTTTAAGCATCTTTTCTGTATTTTACAAATGACAATTTATGCCTCTCTTTACTGTTGGTTAAAAATAAGGACACCTGGGATATTTCTTGTATAAAACTGGGACAAATTAGTGGTTTTGTATAAATCTGCTGGGACAGGGGACACAGGGCTCAGAACTGGGACTGTCCCGGGTAAACAGGGACGTCTGGACACCCTAGTTTAATGCCATATCATGGAACATCCCAGGTGAAGTTAGCATTTCTGTGCATTTGTTAAATTATTTTCTATATCCTTATCATATACAGTCTACATTGAGAGATGAAAGGCTAGACCTATCAGAATAATTAGGCTACTATTGATTCAGTTCAGTTTATAAAAGTATATAAAAGCTGGAAACAAAACGGACTCCAGGTGCTCCAAAGAAGTAAAAATCGCACGAGGAAAAATATAGTTAAAAGGCCTTTATTTAAATGGCCAAAGCCAACATGTTTCGACCAGCCTGGACTTCATCAGGGCTTAGTTGAAGACCAGGTTGGTTGAAACATGTCGGCTTTGTCCATTTAAACACTTTTTAACTATATTTTTCCTCGTGCGATTTTTACTTCTTTGGAGCACCTGGAGTTTGTTGTTTTTTTTAGGTTTTGATCCTTTTTCCAAGAGCACCCTCTACCTGCTCCCACTGATTGGAACACCTGCAGCAAACTGGAATCACTCTCTCTAATGGCCGATTCTTGGATAATTCTACTATTTATTTGTCGAAGTTCGTACCATTTAACGATACTGTCTATTCAAAATGGTTTACTGATTATCTTGCTTTATTTTAATCTTAATCAGTAGCCAGCGTTGGGAAGGTGAGTTTTAAAATGTATTCCCCTACAGATTACAGATTACACACACCAAAATGTAGTTTGTAACATAATCCAATAAATTACATTAGTTCTAGTTTAGTCCTGGTTTTAGTTCTGGTTTAATCCTAGTTTAGTCCTAGTTTAGTTCAGGTTTTAGTTCTGGTTTAATCCTAGTTTAGTCCTAGTTTATTTCTGGTTTTAGTCCTGGTTTAGTTCTAGTTTATTTTTGGTTTAGTTCTAGTTTAGTTCTAGTTTAGTCCTAGTTTAGTTCTGGTTAAGTCCTGGTTTAGTTCTAGTTTAGTCCTAGTTTATTTCTGGTTTTAGTCCTGGTTTAGTTCTAGTTTATTTCTGGTTTAGTTCTAGTTTAGTCCTAGTTTAGTTTTGATTTTAGTTCTAGTTTAGTTTTGGTTTTAGTCCTGGTTTAGTCCTAGTTTAGTCCCAGTTTAGTTCTGGCTTAATCCTAGTTTAGTCCTAGTTTAGTTCTGGTTAAGTCCTGGTTTAGTTCTAGTTTAGTCCTAGTTTAGTTCTGGTTTTAGTCCTGGTTTAGTTCTAGTTTATTTCTGGTTTAGTTCTAGTTTAGTCCTAGTTTAGTTTTGATTTTAGTTCTAGTTTAGTTTAGTCTGGTTCTAGTTTAGTCTAGTTTTAGTTTTCTAGTTTAGTCCTAGTTTACTTCTGTTTAGTCTTTTAGTTCTAGTTTATTTCTGGTTTAGTTCTAGTTTAGTCCTAGTTTATTTCTGGTTTTAGTCCTGGTTTATTTCTTGTTTATTTCTGGTTTAGTTCTAGTTTAGTCCTAGTTTAGTTTTGATTTTAGTTCTAGTTTAGTCCTAGTTTAGTTTTGGTTTTAGTCCTGGTTTAGTTTAGTAGTTTAGTTCTGTTTAATCTAGTTTAGTCTAGTTTAGTTCAGTTTAGTTCTGGTTTTCTAGTTTAGTCCTAGTTTAGTTTTCTTAGTTCTAGTTTAGTTTAGTTCTAGTTTTAGTTTATTTCTGGTTTAGTCTGGTTTAGTTCTAGTTTATTTCTGGTTTAGTTCTAGTTTAGTCCTAGTTTAGTTTAGTTCTAGTTTAGTTTTAGTCCTGTTTAGTTAGTTTAGTCTAGTTTAGTTTAGTTTAGTCCTAGTTTAGTTCTGGTTTAGTCCTGGTTTAGTTCTAGTTTATTTCTGGTTTAGTTCTAGTTTTCTAGTTTAGTTTTCTGGTTTAGTTTATTTCTGTTTAGTTCTAGTTTAGTCTAGTTTAGTTTTAGTTCTAGTTTAGTTTTGGTTTTAGTCCTGGTTTAGTCCTAGTTTAGTCCCAGTATAGTTTTAGTTTAATCCTAGTTTAGTCCTAGTTTACTTCTGGTTTTAGTCCTGGTTTAGTTCTAGTTTATTTCTGGTTTAGTCCTAGTTTAGTCCCAGTTTAGTTCTGGCTTAATCCTAGTTTAGTCCTAGTTTAGTTTTGGTTTTTAGTTCTGGTTTAATCATAGTTTAGTCCTAGTTTACTTCTGGTTTTAGTCTGGTTTAGTCTGTTTATTTCCTAGTTTTAGTCCTAGTTTATTTCTGGTTTTAGTTTAGTTTATTTCTGGTTTAGTTCTAGTTTAGTCCTAGTTTAGTTTTGATTTTAGTTCTAGTTTAGTTCTAGTTTTAGTCCTGGTTTAGTCCTAGTTTAGTCCCAGTATAGTTTTGGTTTAATCCTAGTTTAGTCCTAGTTTACTTCTGGCTTTAGTCCTGGTTTAGTTCTAGTTTATTTCTGGTTTAGTCCTAGTTTAGTCCCAGTTTAGTTCTGGCTTAATCCTAGTTTAGTTTTGGTTTTTAGTTCTGGTTTAATCCTAGTTTAGTCCTAGTTTACTTCTGGTTTTAGTCCTGGTTTAGTCCTAGTTTATTTCTGGTTTATCTCTAGTTTAGTCCTAGTTTAGTTTTGGTTTTTAGTTCTGGTTTAATCATAGTTTAGTCCTAGTTTATTTCTGGTTTAGTTCTAGTTTAGTCCTGGTTTATCCCAAAATGTGAAAACTGAAAATTACCGCCTTGTAATCCATTTATTTCAACAAAGTAATCCAATAAGTAATCCAATTAATACTCACTGAAACAGTAACTGTAACTGAATACAGTTACTCATAATTTGTACTCTGATGACGTAACTTTGGTTCATGTAATCTGTTACTCCCCAACACTGTCAGCAGCATAAAGTAGTTTCAATTTGATCGTTTATCGCATTATTTCTTGGCAGAAATATATCGTGCTTCAAAATGTGTTATCGTGACAGGCCAAGGAAAGGCTTAATTTAAGAGGAGCAGAGATGTGTGCCTGACATCTGCGCTGCTGGTGAGACAAGACAACTCCATATTGTGTGGCTAATGTATTTAAGTGTCAGGCCAGATTCTGCGCTCTGCTTGGGCGAGGGGGGGGGGGGGGGGGGGATGAAGAAATATGAGCACTGGCACTTCTCTACACAGTTCGACAAATGCTGCTTCGTCTGCTCGCTGTACGACATCCATAACGCGCACGCACGCAAGCGAGCCCGTCCAGAAGAGGAGACGCAATCGACTTAGCGTGATTATGCTGTTCCTTGACCCGCGGACCCAGCCTCTCATTAAGCTCCTCATTTGCGGAACAATTTTGGAGGCAGTGGACTGGTACTTAATGTGCACAACATCTGCCCGCCCTGCGCCTGGCTCCAGCGCCCGCTCCGACACGTGGCATCGATCTCACTCGCGCTCGTCACACGCCGTAATGACCGTCATACATCAGCAACAGGCCTCGGCGCGGAGTCCTCTCCCGGGGTCAGAGGTCAGGCCCAGACAAGATCAGTAATTACAGAAACGGATGAGGACAGTTTCGCGCATATTCGATCACAAACAGGGTCAATCAAAAGTCAAAGCTTCTCTTGTTTTAGTTAATGATTTGAAGCAGTTGCATTTTGTTGCACCA